TATATATATATATATGTTTTATGTTGCAGCTGAAACCAAGTCAGTTTTTACTTTTAATACATGGAACCATTTTTGTGTTTGGAATGAAATAAGTTTAGCAGTGTAACATTTACCCATCCATTTTTCGGTCAGGTCAGACGGGTAGAAATTCTCATCAGGCAACAGACGAAATATGAGGTACAACTTGAAAATTACTTTTTAAATCACCTAAACCAAAACTGAAAGACTTTGATCTTTTCAGTCCCCAAGCTATTCTATGGGGATGCTGTTGAGAAAAGGAATTATATTTTTGGGAGGTTGTATTATCATAAAAGAGTCACATCAAAGACAGTAAAATTACAAGGAGCAGAACACAAAAGAAAACCATTTTGTTTGTGTGCGTACTCTGGGTTTTGAAGGAAGTTGCTGTTTCTGACAAATGATTGTGATTTCCAAGGTGCTCATTGTATGAAATTCAACCAGTGATTGATTCCCACTTGTAGAAGGGGAACGACGGTTGGAAGATTATCGGTTTGCTTGCTCCTTCCCTTCCCTTCTCCTCAGGTAATTTTCATGTTGTAAATTGAGTTATTGATTCAGGCCCTACTCTGTTTGTCCTCACCCCAGTTCATCATCTTTGGAAAAAAAAAAAAAGCAGGACCAGAAACCTCAGTGAGTGTGACACCGCATAGGGGAGTATGATCAATGGCTGAAATATGGCATGATGTTTTTAAAATGACATTTATTTGATATTTGGGCTTTGATTTGATTTCCCTAAAAATGTTTTCATTCTCATGTTAAATATTTGTGTACAAATGCTAATTTATAAATGGCAATTTGTCACTTTCTGATATTAAAGTTACAAAATGTGAAGACATATTACCAAAAGCCAAGCTACTTTTGAAACTGATGCAATGCTTTTTCTTAAATAAAAATCTGGAGTTTGGAGCAATTAGATCCAATATTGGTGCTAAACATGATTTTTCTATGAAGCACTTTAACTTGCCTCGTTGCTGAAATGTGCTACACAACCAAACTCGATTGATTCACATACACTGTAAAACACATAGCCTTGGTGTCTCTCCATGTCTTTAGATGTTGTGAAGTTGAGATATTGTAACATAACACATTTATTACCAATCAACAGCGTAGTAACCACATGTCCTCTATCCCGAAAGCTTTGTCTGATTACCCAACATCCTTATCTGCTATTCTTTGCTGCTGCTTGTTCTTTATTATTCCCCATGTCCTTCCTCTCTTTACCCTCATCATTTCAGCTATCATTAATTCTCTTTTGTCACACAATACTCATTACAATTTGTCTTATCAGCTGCATGTCCTTTGGGTCCAAGTGCCCTTTTTGAATAAACAATGCACCCTGAAAACACTTCGAGAATACTAGCTTCAAACGATTTGTTCTTGTTTTTTTATGTAATAAGCTTGGTGTATTTTATTTGAATGTATTTTGGTAAACAGAGACATTTAGTTTTACAAATATGTAATAAATGTAAGGTGAAATTAGAAAGACCTTTGGATTTTTACAAGTAAAAGTGTTATGATTTGTGGATGCATTTCTTCATCAGATTTTTTTCTTCTGGATGGAGCTTAATGCAAGGCAATCCTGATAAAAAATTATTAAATGTTGCAACAGTCTTGAGACTGGAACAAAAATTTACTTTCTGGAAAGAAATAAAATAAAAATATGTCTAATGTGTTCTTCCTTCACCAACAAGCCATTGTTGTAAATAATATCTTCATGTGTTAGAATGTCCAAGTCATAGTCCTGACTTACTTCTCGGAAAAACTAAAAGCCATATTTTGATTTCTCACCTAAAATCTTAATAAATACATTGCATACTTTCAGCAAGGCACTATGGATCCAGACATGTTAATAAAAAAAAATAAATAAATAAATATAAGAAACATTCATTTATTTGTTTAAATAAGCACAAGTTTTGTAAAATATCTTTACTCCCCATTTTCTGGAAGATATTTCTGTGAGTGCAACTGCTTGTTTATTCTTCCTGAGATCACAAGCAGTGTTTAAAATTAATGTTACAGTTTAATGCTTTGCAGCGGGGTTAGCCCAGAGCTAATTTTCATCTACAGTCCCCTGGGTGATCATCAAAACTTCAACTCTCTGACACAACAACAAAGCAAATTAGACAAGCAAGATAAACCACATAACATGAATTACACACAGGTATGCACAGCTCAGAAGTACGCTGACACACACCTTATTATACCACAGTTTCCTCTGGCAGTAAGACACTAAAAATAAAGGCAGAGAAGAAAAGTTCACCTCATGTCAGCCTTCTGCTTAAAGATGTTTCTGAAATCTGTTAAATGAAAATCAAAATTACGTCCAAACGCCACTGAGCGATGCTAGCCTGGGTGTGACTGTGGCCAAGTGGCCATCCAGCAGACTGTAATGTCATGCTCTAGCAAAGCTGCTGCTGTCAGATCAGTCAGCAGTGGACAACAGCACTAGTGACAATATTTGTCAAAGTCAGTGCTGTCTTCAAGAGTTTGTGACGCTCTCTCACAATAGATATATCCAGACGCCCGTTTCAAAATGGCTTTGAACTGCGTTTTTATTCTGGGACAAATTAAACATCACACTGATTTAGGCTTCTAAGGCAAAGAGATGCTAAGTGGAAGAAGGGTAACTTTGTAATTACTGAGAAGTTTTTCATCCATTGATCTCTTCAGGGAGTAAAATTAGCACCGACTGTTGTCTCTTTGCGCATTTGAAAACATGACAGCTTAGTCTATGAAGTCACTGGCATTAATGTTGGTGTTAAATTTATGCCCAGTTGTTTAAATCTATTTAAAGTAAGCTTGTATTTCAGCTCAGTCTTGCTCTATTGGATTTACTCACTAAATGTGCCATCTTGCATGAGCTACAAATCCACAGTTGCGCAGCACACCAACCTTTCCAGAAATGAGATTTGTAGTGGGACGTTTTTTTTATTATCATTGCTGTATTTTTCATTAATGCAAAGCCATGTGTTGTAGGCTTTCCACAGAGGTCATGGACTGTTCTTTATGACTGCCGCTGCACTGAGGGAAATGTCTGCTTTTCAACACAGTAAAGAAACCAAGAACACTGTATTCGATGCAACATTAAAGGCCATATATAATATTTTAGATAAAGAAAACTGTTAGATTGTAAGCATCAAACGGAGAACAACCACAACTAGCTTTTCTGTTGTTTGAAACAAATGTATAATTTTAAAATATAGTTTTCAGTAACTAAAAACCTTTTTAAGTCTTCCACAGAAAACAAGAAGGCCTGAATGTAAATGGATGACCAGATGTCTAGAATTAGGAGTATCCTCGTACAATTTTTTTCACTTCCAATACGATACCAATATTCCAGCTTTGAGTATTGGCTGATATTGATATTAACCTGATACGATACTATCACAAATCGTACACTCTTTTACTTATTCTGCAGTGTGGAGTGTTGGAAAAGGCTTGATCAGTTGATACTCCTCAAACAGTCATCAACAATAGGTATGAGAACAACTTACCCAAATATTATTAACCAATGGGTCTGTGTGCGGGACACAAGTACTGCCTGATAGGAATGCTTTGGGGGGACAAAAAACTGGACTGGCATTCTAAAGCATACTCAACCATACTAAACTGCCAGACCACAATGTGACTGTTAGTGATGTTACGATCACTCATAAAACAGTTTTTCAAGTAAAAAATGTGAGCTGGAACCACTTTTTTCTCCTCGTCTTTCAGTTGAAGCCTCACTTGAATGGAGTCTGTGTTTGCACTGAGAAAGAGTGGATGTAGCAGACAGAAGAAAGTGAAGCAGAAGTGAGAGAGAAACCACTACAGATCATCTTTCTGGACAGGTAAAATAACTGACCTCAGAATAGACAAACAATTTGGATGTATTTAAGCGGGTTCAACAGCAAAGTGCTAGAATGGCTAAGGGCAAAAACCTGCAAAACAGATTCAAATTTCTTTGCATTCACTAAACAGTTTATGTATTATATGTTTGTACAGTAATAGCTGCATTTAAAACCACATTTTTAATTATTTAATAACTGTATATCAGCAACTAAAAATATGAGCAGTCGTCTGGGAGGTGAAAAAGCCTCCTCTTTGGTGAGCAAAGCCATAAGATACATCTCTCTTAAAGGAGACAATTCTCATCACTACTAACCACAAAAGTTGTTAGTAAGCATTTTTTTCCAGTAAAATATTGCTTCCTTTTAAGAATATTTAATTTTAGCACATTGTTGTTTTTTCTGTTTCTGAGTGATATAAAGCAGAGAAGAAGAATGAATTAACTTTTCTTTCAAACGCCCCCATGTGTATCATTTACTTGAGGAAAAATATGTTATTCTGAGAAAGTTTAGTGTAGACAAACTTGCATTTTTAGCAGTATGATATTGGGTTGCTGTAGAATAGCTTAGAACAGATATGTAGATAAAGTTCGATATGTGCAGTCAATGGGTACATTTGTACCATTTGTTGACACATGCAAAATGGGAGAGCTGACCCTGTGGAGGTTGTAGAGCAGTGACTCGAAAGGAAAGGACTCAGGTTGGAGACGTCTCACTTAATTGATTGGACTGAAAGGCACTTTTAAATTCATACTGTAGGATGCTGGTTTGCTGGGTCTCTAACCTACTGCTCTGTCAAATTCTGAATATTTTCTTGGTTAATACATCTCTATAAATGTTCACTTTATGAACTCATGTTTCAGTATGATGTTGTGCTATCAGGTATTCTATTGGTGGCCATTGTTGTAGGCATTGGATATAAAATACATGACTGCTCTTTGGTAACTTTTTCCTGCCGTGTTTTCACTTTTTTCTTTCACACTTTTCCCCATATTTATCAGCTTTGGATATGAAAATAAATATAACTCCACACAGGTGAAGGAAACATTTGTAAATATGATATGCTACTGCCCACATCTAATGCAAAATGCACTCTTAGATATTTTAGCTAAAGTTATTGATTAGATACGTAAAATATTTATTTTCTAAATCAAGAGAAAGATATGGATTCATATGGTGTCAGTTTTGCAAAAGTAACTCAGAATTTTGAAGACAACATTGGCAAAAAGATTCATGTCTGCATAAATTTATCCACATATATAATGAAAACATGCAGGATATAGTTGGCTTTCATTTAAAGAAGTCATATTTACATTTCCAGCTTAACGGATGGTCTATCACAGCTGCATTTAACTGATAAGGCACTTAAGGAACAAACCTGATGGCAGCTCTGAGACCAAAGACTAGTAAAATAGATTGACTGAATAAATCCTACGTCAAGCTTTCCATATCTTAATAGACCAGGGAGAGGGCAATGATTTACAACACAACAAGCCATGCAAGTCGTTCATGTGTTGATGAAGCGTGCTTGTGTGTTTGCCAAGCTCTGGATTTTCCTGTGCAGGAAGTCGCATTACTTTTTGCCCGAGTTTAAGAAATACGGCGCCTGCACAACACATCTGCTCAGAGCCACAGAAGGACCCGATGAGAAATCAAATGAAGCTGTCTGCTGAGCCACCTTTTTCCACCCCCTCACATATTTCCAGCTTTCAACTGCTGACAAACTCCTGACTGTTCTTACCCTTAAGTAACTACCTGAATCCAAACAAAGTCACTTTGCTATTGGCTTCACTATACACAGGCTTTTAGAAGGTATACACATTTAAAACCTCTTAGCTTCTCCAAATTAAAGGCTAAACATTTTGCCTCTAAATTCATTCAGAAGTAATAGCGAACATTAAATTGAATACATTTATTCAAGATAGTGTTGAAGAATGCTGAAATAAGACTGTTTATATAAATTGTCAATATAATTGTTTTTTTTTTCCACTTCTGTGATTAAATAAAATATTGTGTAACATTTTATCTTTGTGATTTCCTCTTCCATGGAGGTGTTGTGCCAAAAATCGACCTTCTGTGCGGAGAATAACCTCACTTTTGAGCAACCAAGGCAGGAATTATCTCTCAAATACATATTAATTTGAGCTCATTATGTTTGAAAATGTGTTCTTTTTGTCTCTTAAATTTTAAAATAGTAAATCTAACTACATTCTGACTAGTTTATGGACTTAATGGTTTGGGGATAATGAAGTAGCTGATGAAAAAGAAAAAATCAAACGTAATATATAAATTTATTAAGAGCTGACCTGCAGGAGAAAGATCAAAAAAGAAGAGAAAAAATACGGTCTCATATCACTTATGCTGCCGCTACCCATGAAAATCTGTCCTGATTTTCTAAGACCTTTGATCTGGGATTACATTTGGAAGCTGAGGAGAGAAGTAAGTGATCGGCCAGGGAGAACTCATGGTTCAGCCCGAGGTAGTCCGGGCCTCTGAAGTCAATGCTGCCGCTGAAACTACTGAAAAGATTAAAAAAAGGTTAAAGTGTAAAATATATTCAGAAAACTGACTTGGAACACTTATGTGAGCTGAATCATAATAAACACAGACTGTTTTTTACTGGTGTATGTCAGTCCTTTTTTTATTTTTTGGAATAGTTTTAAATTAAAATCAGCAGGTTGAGTGTGAAAAGCGACGCAGTAACAGTGGCGCGTGGCTGCATAAATCGCCTCTTTCAGTTGCACTAAAGGAACTCTGGCAGAAGAGCATTAAAAGTGATGTAGCAACCATTCTCACCCAGCCTCGGGCCTGACAGCTCACTGTACTTTAAGAAGATGTCACCTCCCCTCCAAGCGAATGCGTTGTAGGGAAAAAGATTGCACCATATGTGTGCCACACGCTCGCCTCGGGTCTTTACACTGAAAGGTGAGATGCCTGCTGAGCTCCCCTTTAGCTTCCTGCTCTGACCAACCTCAGCAGTTCTTTCTCTTCCAGCTAATATCCTCAGTGATTTAAATAAAGTCTCAGACATCTGCCATATATTTTTATTCACTTGTCAATTAGTCTGGAATAAATTGTCTGATTCTATTTTATCACGAGGATATATTTTTTTTCCCTCCTCTTCCCCCTCTCTCTTTTCCCATCAAAACACTTTGAATCAATTTCATGCCCTAAAATTGCTGTTTACCCTCTTGGGTGAGAAATCTCTCCGGATCCCACATGCTTCTTGAGCTTTCTCTTGCACTCTTACAGAATATATATTTTTTAACAGATTTAGAAAGAAGCTTGTTCCTGTTCAGGGAAGATGTGGAGCCGATCGATTCCTCATGATATGCCATAAAGAACATCCATTTCTGGAAATAATGAAGGAGAAGCCTAAGATAAGCCTTATCTTAGGAAGATTTGAATTACATTCAAAATATATTCAGATATCTTTTTTTATTTTTCTTTTTTTGCAGGTATGTAAAGATTGTATTTAAGTAATTTCAGTTAAAAATTCAAACTCATTTAGATCAATACCACACAGAACAGAGCATTTCAAGAATTTTTTTTTTATGTTTTCTGAAGATTAAGCTATTACAGTGGACCAAAACAAAACAGGTTTGTTCTGAAGGAATGACATGGATGCGTTATGGTCAGTGTAGCATGAGGTGGGCAGTTGTCAACAGGGAAACTCGCAACTTTCACGTAGAGTGCAAGTAACAAAAGTTTATTGCCAAGAAAGCTCAACCATTTCAACTCAAAAGTTTAATGGAAGGGAAAGTGTGATAGGAAAAAGTTGGACAAGCAACATGGATGACCAAATCGTTGGGAAAACTGTGAGGCAAAGCCTACTGCAGCATGCAGTCAGTGCTTCAAGTCACATAGATGTATAGAGAACACTGGCTTCGAGTTCTGTTAACCGTCATACCTGAAAGTAAGGTCTGAACTGTAGCTCAATGGTTCAAACATCTCTTAGATAAAAAAAATAAAAATAAAATTATTTTCTAATTCTTTTTGAAACCTGAATCTAGAGGAAGAGTGGTAAGGCTCAGAGTTCAAGTTTCGTCAAATTCGGTGTGAAGTTTCCACAGTTGGTGATGATTTGAGGAGCGATTTCATCTTCTGCTGTGTTTTATCAAATCCGATGTCAGCACAGGGAATTTTAGATCACTTCATGCTCCCCTCTACAGAAAAGCCCAGTGGAAATGCTGATTTTATTTTTCAGCAGGACCTGCCTACATTGCTAAAAGTACCAAAACCTCCCCTCATGCTCATGGTATTACTGTTCTAGGTTGATCAGCCTGACCTTAACCCGTCCGGAAGATTATGGACCACTGTCAAAAGAAATCTGAAAGACATCAGCTAAATGAAAGTTATAACTAAAACAACCAAGGTTGGCTTATTGCTTCCATGCCACGCCACACTAATGTAGTAATTCATGCAAAATGAGCTATTTCTAAAATATTCATTTCTACTAGACATTACATAAAAATGTTTTTGAATAATTTCAACATGAAAATAAAAACATGGCATGCATCCCCTCCATATGTTTTGAATCTTTGTCATTTAGGAGTTTCACTTTTCAATTGGATTCATGAAATAAATTAACTATTAATGATATTTTAATTTTGCACGTGTACAAACTCTTCATCAAACATCCGGAGCCTTTAAAGTACAAATTTCCACCACTTAAAAAAACCCCAAAACATAAAGTTTTGAAGAAATAATATCGCTGCCTATCTTCTGCATTTATCTGTTTTTCTTTTCCTCTTCATCCCACACTGGGGACTGTCAGTTGGAGTGATTTTGAAAAGCTCTAAATTACTCATGCACCCCAGGGTTTCAGTGCACTGCCACACTAACAAGTGAAAAGCAAATCCTTCCGCAGCATGCACCCTTAGCAGGAGGTTTTTTGTCTCTATGAAATCCTTTAATGTCCAGTAATCTATGCTGACATAGGATGACTATTATTTGTGTCTATGCTCAGTGATTTATTGAGGTATTGTGGATGGCACT